GCCTTCCAAACACGCCTTTGTTTCAGTACCTAAAGTACTGCAACTGTTTGAAGAGCTCAAAATATTTTAGCCTCAGTGTACTGAGGGCTGTACTTATAACAAAACTAGATCATTTTGCTTCTCGTTTATCTCATTGGACATATTCAGCTGAACTTTTTCTCCATTACGTTCGTCCAGCTATGAGCCACCAAACAGTCCATTTCTATCAGAGGCTGCTAGGAGTGTTTGCTATTCAGGGTGATTTTAAATGTTTGGGATGATAAGAAATTAGTGTGTTTTGTTGTTGGTTACGGATACAATAATGAAAACATTTGAAAACTTCATGACAACCGTTAAGTTTATCAGTTGTTGTACGATATTTGTTTAATTAATTACTGCGCAACTGTTAGCGCCATATTTGAATTCATCTTATGTGAGATGCAGCTGTAAATTTTGGAAGTTTGATACGGACTATGAGATGCTGTTTCGAAATTTCGAAGGGACGGTAGCATGGGACGTTCATGTACTTAAACTTCATCTACTTCTACATGAGGAAAATTCATATGGGACAAGGTCCGGGTCTCTAAGGAGACAAACAATTGGTGCTGCTCGTCCTACTGAAACCTACCGCACACGAAGCGCCATTTTCTTTTGAGAGCGATTGTAGCAGTACTGACGTCTGATATGCTGCAGTTGATGTTTCCAACGGAAACTTAATTTCCTTGCTGTTTTCATTTTGCTTTAAATTTTTTACTATACTCGTTTAAACAATACATCGATTTCCTCTCGCCTTAATAATTTATTTAAGTATTATTTTTATTATTGCTAGTGGGGTAGGACTAACTCCCCTGTACTGCGGCCAATTCTGGCCTATTGTACCAGCCCCAGATGACAGGTGAGGGTGATTTTGTAGAAATTGGTGGAATGAAGATTGGCAGGGGAAACCGAAGTACTCGGAGAAAACCTGCCCCAGCGCCACTTTGTCCACCACAAATCCCACTTGACCAGACCCAGGATCGAACCCCGGCCGCCGCGGTGGGAAGTCAACGACTAACCGCTTGAGCTATGGAGCGGCCAGTTGTTTAAGTGTGTATTTGTAAATTCGGGGGAAGCCTAGGTACATGATAAAATCAAGAAATAGAAGAAGTCGTAAATGATGTTTACTTCCTTTATTTTTATAAAGTAACGAAATTCCAATTCAGGAAAATTTATTTCTTTGGCATGAAGCATGTCAATCCTTGATAATTAATGTGCTCCTTCAAAACTGTCTGTATAGGTACTTGATTCCCTTCAGAATATGCATTCGGTATTTGGTGTATGGTATCGTTCGAATCTTACGTATTGCGAGGCGTCAGACATATTCTCTTGCAGAAACCAGAAGATTCCTTCCACACCAACAGACACTGCTTCAACTTAACTCACGGTAATGTAGTCTTGCTGTGAGTTATCTTGTGGGCAATTAACATGATCTACTCTTTTGTTACAAAATTATTTTTCAATACCCGATAATCGCTGTTCAAATAAGAATGTTAACAGATATTCTCCTTTTCCTGCCCCTTCCTTTACCGGAAGTTAAACGAAATTTCGAAGCTATTGAATATTTTATTGGAAACTTAATGTCGGGGAAAAATATTTCTAACAGTCGTTGTAAATTGAAAAGAAACGTGTATTTTAGGATGTTATATGTCGAAACATCCTGCATAAAATAAGACAAGTGAAAAAATGAATTTAATTTAAAATACAATTTTGAATTAAATCTTCTAAAATAACTTGCGTGAAAAGCGATAACAAATAAGTGGGAAAAATGTGTTTAGGCTTATATGCACACACCCCTTATGTCTTACTGTTTTCGAAATATTTAATCAGTACGGATATTGTCTAGAAGCAATGTAGTAGGGAAACGCTCCAGAATTCTTTTTGCATATGTACATTCCATTAGATTGTTGACATAAATTTATTTTCTGCATAGGTTTAAGGTATTGTCAGGAGAAATGTGTATCCACAAAGTCACTGACCTTTGGGTTAGGTTCGTGGCAGTAACGTCTCTGTTTGCCTCCAGGTCCACATTAGTTCTGGGGCCTACCCAGCTGCCCGTATATTGGATAATGAGAGATATTTCTCTGCGAATTAAAGTGAGCGAAGTGTGTAATTCATTTCTTGTACAGCCGAGGGAGGGACGTGGAGCGTGTGAACTTACTCTACTTGGCCTACAGCCTATCCAGAGATTAGGTTTAGACACAGGGGCAGCTGTGAGTGCGTGTATGGGAACAGCAGCACCTCCAGTTCTTCGCTTCTAAAGTGAAGACAATATGAGGCTTATCACTTAATAATAATTAGTTACGTCGAAAAACTCCAAGAATTTAAATAAACGATCGACCTGATTTTGATAATTTTAATCAATTCAGTTGTGCTATATTACTTTACAAAATATATAACACATTACAATATCCTGCGAATTCACATACCAGCTATTCGGGGCCCTCCAGGGAAATTCGCTCCGTGGATTGTAAATCAATTTGTAACTTACAAGACCGCTGTATAATAATATACTTCCAAGCGTAGTGAAAGTTAGTGAAACGGCTGAAACCAATTTAACCGGGACACACACATATACATACGAAGGGGGACACAAAAATGGAAACGGGATTTGCTTCTAGAAGGTGGGGCGCTTGTAGTACAGGTTTCCACCTCTAGATGGTTGTTTGCAGGAACTTCCTGAATCACTATGCCAGCTGGCGTCGCCAGAGACGTTTGCGCTATTGTTTGGTGAATTCTTTCTCAAGTGACTTTTTTATAATTCGTCTGTTTTTAATGGCTGATTCTGACGAACAACGTTCTGCTGTGAGGTTTTGTTACCTTTTGGGGAAAACAGAAGCAGAAACGGATGTTACCTTGCATTGCTACGTTTATGTTTATGTTTATGTTGCTTAATATTCATTTGAGAAGGCATTAAACGCGGGTCTTGTCGTGTCTTTCAGCAAGACGTTGGACTGGACAGCAAGAGGGACGAAGAATGGAAAGTTAACACCATGAAATATTATATAACAATGGTTGCAATTTTCATAGAAATTCAAGAAGTTATACATAAATTTCTTATTGAAGACGCAAGCAAGCAAATATTTGCAATTCTATTTATTTTATAGTTAAGCCTTAGTGAGTTTTGAGCTCTGGCCATTTTCTAACGTTATACTTTTTTTACAATACTATGTGTTTGACAAATTCCGGAACACAGTAACTCAGAGCCTTATATATCGTATTAGAACTAATTGCATTTGAATATACGAGTAGGCCTAATAGCTGTATGATTTATATGTATCCTCTATTTTAAGTAAATGCAAGGAATATTTTTAAATTTATATATGTTATCAAAACATATAAATTATCCGAAATGTTATTAAAATTTATTGTAAGTAATTTAAAGTAAATATGACAAAAGTTACCTGAATTTTTTTGTATCTGGTAATATTTGAGATTCTCTGTTTACTGACAACAAAATTGTCGTCATTAATATTCTGAAGGAACCTGAGTTTATTACAGGCTTAAACACCAATACAAATTATTTTGTTGGATTTGTGATTTCAACATCATGGGCTATGAACAACGTCTCTGCTTGCTTTTTGTATCTTCTTGTTTCTTGGTTGGCTTACATTTTCACACTTTTACTGAGCCGTTGCTTATCAACGGTAGGGGGACATGCATATAGACACAGACTGATGGCAGGAATTTATGAAGTTCGCTATGGAGATTGGGTGAGGTGAATTGATGTACATGCCGAGATTTATAAAGATAGGGTCAGGCGTTCTGGAGTTGGTGTGTGAGGTAAACAGGCACACAAATACACGGACAGCATGGTGGTTTTGTAAGACTATATTTAATTTAGTATGTTTCCCTCATTTTGGAAAAGATTGCTTACATTTACGTAAAATTATTCATTAAATGAAATAAGGAGAAAATACCAATATACACCGAATATTATTTCACATGTTATTGAGAACTTTTGTTCATGAGTCTAACACAATAAAATAAAATAAATATAAAATATTGAGTAATTTGGTGCATATTCCGAATAGATACAATAAAGCTCGCTAAATTAGTAGCAACAACCCCAATTCTCATTATTCTTCACGGCATGGGGCTGAATTTATTGAGCACAAGGACAGCTTTAATTTTTAATTTACTTTATGCCTTTGCAACCAATATGCAATTATATGGACTATTTATCGTAATACTGGTCCACTAACTATATCTTACTTTGTTTTCTGTTTGAACTTTGGTTTTAGAAGTTCATATTTCAAATTAGTTATCAATTACGTTCATTCGAGATAATTTTCTATATATGTAACTCCAATAATTATAATACTCTGAATGCATGACAGCATTGTTTCATTTTTAATGGAGTTTCTGGTACAGTCAAAGCTGGTTTATAGGCAAACTACTACACAATTATGCGGTCATTACCAGTTCGCCCGGAGTATTATAAAATTAAATATTTTTAACAGAACAACACAAAGTTGGGATCTTTTGAATTTTTATGTACACAGGATAGAGCGATAGAAGTTCCACAATTATTAGTAAAGGACAGAAGAATTTAGTAATCAATAATTCCTATCATCTTGTATAAAACTACTCTTTCGACATGAAGGTTTCCAAGCAGGCGTACTGCTAGAACCCAGTACGGCGTTACAACTCTTGAACATCAGACGCTAAGGCAACCGTATCTGTGAAATCTGTCAAGTCTGAAGGAAAGGAGCAGAAAATTTTAATTTCGTGAGCTATTGAGAAGTAACAGTAATTTAAAAAATGGAAAGTATTTCTCTTTTAGAGAGCCGATTTCGTTATTACAACTACTTTTTCTACGTAGGAGGAGTTCCTTTGTTTAACACGTCTGCTTCAATCTTTTATCATATATTTGTCTTGCTTTGCAATGCATGTGCTTACAGCACGATTATAGCCTTTCTTATGGCGATATACCATAATAAAGAGGATATGGATAATGCCACGAATGTAGCTATGCTACTCCTTCTGTTTTCATCAGCAAGTTGTGCACAATTATATTTCAGGTGATGATGTTTCTGGAGTTATGCTCGTATTTAGTGAATGTATTCTTATTTACTTAGTGGTGAATCATGAATTATTTAAGGATACTTAGCATGTCATAGCATACGTGTTAACATTGCTTTCATAATAATGAATTGTTAGTCATTAATAACTATTCGAATCTTCTACTATTTATTATCCGATGCATGTTATGATACATAATTTATTACTCATAACAGATGATGAATTAAAATGTCATATTTATTCTATTGAAATATTACGTTACATGACGAAAACAGTGTTTTTCTGCAGGTTCCGCAGGGCTAATCTAGTGAAGATTTTGAGGTTCACGGATGCATTCATCTGGGAGGATTTACCCCACATTGATCCTGAGACTGGATCCCTGGCAATGGCGGCATGGATCCCGCGTGTCCAAAGAGTTTCATTTTTTATTACAAGCGCCGCCACTATTTTCCATGTGACTCAAAGCTCAATACGCTTGTTAACAAGTGAAGACCGTCCTATGATTTATGGAACATGGTATCCATTCGATATAACCAAAAGCCCCACCTACGAGCTAACAAACATCGCACAGGTAAGAAATAGTGACCGTGGTGAAATAATCATTTACAGTTCTTTTATTGCCTGGAGCAGAATAAATTTACCATCAGGAGAGGACAATATGACAAATCTTGCTTGTGCTTTTGGTGGTTAAATTATATCATTGTGTAGTCACGTGTTTTGTGGAATGTTATAAACAAACTGTCAAATTAGTCTCATACAAACTCGTATATTATGAAATTGTGCATCTGAGAAAGAAGTCGCTAAGTAAAAACGGCAACGCTCCAGGAACTGTTGCACACATCTGTAATTTCTGCACTGACAGTTGGGATTCTCACGGCCACAGCGAAACACGCCTCTGCAGTACATACACGTAATTCATTTTCTTTCTTGGGACTACAGCCCCAGTGGGCCTACCTCCATGAAATTCTCCGTTCACTTCGAATTTTCTAGATCACATAATTCATTCCCAGAGCTAATTCCGTCTCAAAGAAATAATCTCCCGTCGGTATAATAATTAATATCTTTTTGGAGATATAAAGATAATTAATTTCAATTCAATTTACGTGCAAACTTAACAAGACAATGACCAATTTCAAAGTTAGCACGAATACACAGAAATAAGCAAAAATAATTAAAGAGAAAGATACAAAATATGAGAGTCTATATAGTAGCAATAAAATAATAACAATTCCAAGAATAAATTAAGTTAGCTTTAAGAGGCGAGAAAAATAAAATAAGTGTATTTCGAATAATTATGCCATTTCTGGCGAGAAAGAAAATATATGTACATACACACATAAAAGTTAATAATAATAATAATAATAATAATAATAATAATAACTTATTTAATAAATATTACCGTAACTCTATCACCATAAATCAAACATAGCAATGAGAAATGAGAAAATTAAAATATATACAATTAGTATTTTTGATTGGAATAATCATTGCAGCAATAAAATATAAAACAATTCAAGTTTTAATTAATCAATGTATAAACACATTAATTTATTCCAATTTTTATTTATATACATCCTAAATATGAATGAGAGAAAGGGTCCCAACTGCAAATATGTCGAGATCTTTACCCACCGCGTTGTCAGCATAGGCGCACCGAGCAGAAGGACAGTGTTTCTTAGAGGGACAAACACCAAACAGTGGGAAAGCCCTAAGACTGCTGGGAGGAACACGAAGGCTAACGTTTTCCAAAAGGGAAGAGCAAGATTTAAGCCCGCGACAGACTTGAATAAAAAGAAAGTGCATCAAGGTGATGTCTCCGATTGCCTAAAGATTGTGGACTTCATTTCTTTAAGGCATGTGTATAATTATATGGAATATGAGGGAAGAAACGATAAAGACAGACGGACACAAACTTCTGTTGGATTCGCCCAAGCTTATTCGCATCATTCGAGGTGACGTGGTTCCAAACTACTGAGGCATATTCCAACTTGGACCTGACTAAAGTAAAGTATAGTACATACAGACACTCCAGGGGGGGGGGGAATCTGTAGGTAATGGAGCGAATAAGGCATAAAAGGTTTATGCATTCAGAAAATACGTAATCAACATGTGCGTGAAAATATCATTTTGAATCAAAGAAACAACTAGATCCTTAATACTGCTAATACTCATGAAAAAGCTGATACTCGTAATTCAAAAAATTAGTTTTCCTTGTGTATGACACAACACGCATTTTAGCAATATTAAGTCTCATGGAGTTAGCAATTCACCAGTCACTCACGGAACTGATGTGAGTTCGAAGTAATTGCACATGCAATGCATCACACAACGGTTTTAACAGTCAGAAAATTGATAAATATTATACCGTGATTTCACAGCGTTCAGAATATGCATATATGGATGCAAGTGTGGAACAGACCACACAAATATGATGATGATGATAGCAGAGATGATTATAAGGGTTATTATTCTGTAATAAGTGCGTCATACTTCTTTAGATATCGATTGACCCAATGACAGAATCTTTGGTACGTCAGCTGCCTTTAGTATATAGGTCTTAGTAATCTGCTATCCATTAAGCACAAAACACTTCCCGATGGTAAAAGTGGCCGAAAGAAGAATCTGGCCCCTTACAAATTGAACAGCGTTCAAAGTTCTACCCTAATAAGCACAAGTGTAGCCTGCAGTGTATCAGTGCGACTTAAAGTTACAATAACTACGCTTGCTCTTGTTCGTATTTGTTCGCTAGATGGTAGCGAGCTGTTTCATAAGTTTGTTCCTGGAATCGGTAGAGTTCGCTCGTGATGCTGTGACTTGAAACATTCCAGTCACGAACACCTGTTACTGTGTGTACTCGTTTGGTTATGTTTCTTTTCGTGTGTTGCAAGTCGTTCAGTGAGTGACTTCCAATGGTACATTGCACGGCTCTTACATAAGCTCGTCCTGCACAATCGTCTTGTAGGTTTCGTCTGTTGATGACACAAATTTTCAGCGCAAGATCAACATTGGCTATGAAACTATAATCTCTCTCGATTAAGGTCCTCGACAAGGGACAAAATTTCTGAAATATTGACATAATTTTACGAAATATTTGTCTGTGCATTCCTTTATTCGGCTTGGATCGGATACCCTTAACTAGCAGGCATTTCCAATATCTGGTTCTGCATTTTTAGAATGCTCTGTGTTATTTTATAGGGCATCGCTACTGTTCAATGGATTTGTTTCCTCTATGGGATGCCTGCCTTTTATGGGTTATTGGTGTGCATTGCGTGCAGTCAGCTGGAGAAGTTGAGAGCGAACCTCCTGGATATCAGACAGGAACTCGACACACCAGCGCAGGACTCGAGAACTGAGACTGACACAGGGGAAGGGAGACAAGTCCAGACATCTCAGGAAGTGTTCTGCCGCATGCAGGAGCAGCTCAACGACTGCATACGTCATCACCAGCTGATCATAAAGTAAGCAAATTTTTTTAAATATTAGTTTATTTCATGTGTCCTCTTTTATAAAAAAATGTCATAAACCGACTTGTGGTTTTGTAGATGTACACGGAAAAACCTAAATAAACAGATATGAGCTTAGCTATTACGAGTTCCTCTGATTCTCGTCCATGATATGTATGTATTGGCCGTCTTGTAGTGCACACGGTCTAACATGTCACTTCACTACATGTTTCGGCATTCCTGTGCCATCCTCAGGTGTGTTATTTACGTCAAGCTATTGCATTACTCGCCATCATGTGTCGTTTATAAAATTATCTAAAATGCACACTCGTCACTAACTATGATAAAATGTATATATATCAAAATTTGTTAATATCTATCATCTTACACGTCTTAACACAATTTGCAAACTATATCATTCTTCCACGATTGTGAGTCGTTCTTCCTATATTTTGTGTATGTTGTGCCTTGTGATGTTTTTTTTTTTGGCTGCGAGCGTTGTAATGATTTAAAGTAAAATTCTGATTCCTCTTTATTTCTATTGGCAGATACATTGGTGAAATTGAGGACACGTTCAACCCGCTCTTAGCAGGTTATTTCCTCAACTTAATGTGCGGTCTCTGCTTTACTGCATACACAGCTGTTACGGTAATTCACTGCAATTAGTACTAATATTTTTTCTATGATGTATAATAATCTAATTAGAAAAAAATCATCGTTCTAACTTGAGTCCATTGAAGCACTTACACTTCATAAGTTCAGTCAAGTTGAGGGTTCAATCTGTAACACATTTTTTTACCATCCTCTGTGCAAGTGTGAAGTGGAAGGGACAACTCTACCGATAGATTTCGTCCGGAGGTAAGGAGCCACATTCACGTTACGACTGAATTGAGGCAGTCATTCTTGGTGTTGAGCCACATCTGGGCCTCGTGACAAAATTCTGATCTTGTCTAATCACGGATTTGTGGTTACGTATCTGGCCCATTTCCGATGTCTCCTATTGTAGACTTCATATGTACATGCACGTTTCTCTATATGTGCCACGCAAGGCAATATAACTTTTATGTTAGTCCATTATCGACAAGACCTCTCTGTACGTCCAGGTATTGCAGAAACTTTGTACAGAAGAGACTTTGGCTGGACCTCCGTCACTGGATGATACCACACTTCATTTCTCGCTCTTTCATGTAATTAATCCCTACGCTTACAAGCTGCAAGTGTGTATATATGGGAACCGTTTCTACATGCGACGGAGTTGAAAGCCGAATACTGAAGCTAAACGAGAATATAGAGGCATTGCGTTGCTGACTTGAAATATAACTCGTTCATTGTGAACATGACACAAATTGGATATGAACTGTAATTTTTCTCAACAGACAAGGTACAGTTTAAAATTATTGTTTTTTTTTTTTCACACAGATCTTTTTGAAAAAAAAATCAATTATTTTTTCTGTCGGCCTCTTAAATATAATTCTATATATTGGTAATGAGATGTACACCATTATACTTATATAGTTGGGCAACATAATGCAAAATATAGAATCGTGACACAAAATTTGATTCAAGTGAGTGCATATGAACATAATCATGTGGAGCTTTACCGAAGTTCTGTGGAAAGAATGTTATGCTTCAGGGGCACTGGATGACATAATATTGTTTGTTCTTGTATTATCTGGTATTAATTTTTAATTTAGTTATGTAAGTTAAGCATTGTAAGACCAGTTTGAAGTTTCACTAATGTTGATGCAACAGAGGGATCGAGTGCTTAAAAATGACGATATCAAATAAATAGAGTTAGGACTATGTATAATCCACAGAGGACAAATCTGTACATTGCCTAATAAATTTCGTGCAGTTAGAATAGTTCTCGGGAAGGTAATATCAACTTGTCAAGAAATTACCTGTCCTTAGTGGGAACCGAAAGTCCATTATAAAGCCCATGAGAGCCAGTCATTCGATCATATTCTCTTACTAATGAATCCAGTCCTTCCTTATATTAATTTGATTTGTTTCATTCTGGTTCGTCACACTAAAAATTACAAAGACAAAACAACACAGTCCAATGTGACAATTTAAGTTTTACTACTTGAAAACTTAGAACCCTTACATGTTTCNAATAACACCGTCCAATGTGACTATTTAAGTTTTACTACTTGAAAACTTAGAACCCTTACATGTTTCGATCCTTACAGATCATCTTCAGAGGGAACATCAGTACCTATTTGGAAACTACTATCACAATAGGTGTTCTGAGTGTTAAATTACATACACACAATGCCTGGAATACAAAATATACACAAAAGTTTTCAAGTAAAACTTATATAGTCACACTGGACGGAGTTGTTTTGTATTTGTCGTATTTTGTTGCATTTAAATTTCACATCAATACTTTTCTCCAATGTAAACTCTGGTGTCCGATGTTTCGTCGTGCCGTTATGTGTACGGATCATACTTATTACACATGTGCCATCTGCAAGATGCGTGATGCATGCCACAAGCACATAGCCTAACTCGATGTCCTCCTTGTAATGACATATTTATGTATGTTGAATAAACCTGAATGTAATAACAATTACGGCCGTGGGGATTCGTTGCGCTGACCACGCGACAACCTCTATCCCCAAAAGTTAGCACTAACTTCGCTGACAAGTGGCGGTCGCTCGGTCGGTATAGTTCGTTTGCGGACTAAAATCATGCAGTTTGTTTTTGTTTGTAATAGCAATTAAACTGCTATACATTTCGCTGTGTTTCAGAGACTGGGAGATCCACTGCAAATGTCTCAGCCCATTGTTATTTACATCTTCTACGCTATAAACGTGTTTGTTTTCTGCTGGTTCGGAAGCGAGCTGAGTGACCAGGAAAGTATCCCAAAGTAAAAAAGAAATGTATTTAACTAATCGATAAATTGTTATTCTTGATAAATATAGGAGGCCAACACATAAATAAGTATCAGTTCGAGTCTGTTACTACATACAGTCATATTGTAACAGACGTAGCATGTACATTAGTTTATGTATATAAGATCTGAGGCTTTCACGGCGGTGACTATGAAGAAAGCAGTCTTCTGGGATTTGGCACCGTGTATATGTGGTGTTAATACACGGTGCCAAATCCCAGAAGACTGCTTTCTTCACAGTTTATGTATAGTTGGACTGCATTCTGCACATATATACTGCGGAACAGTACATCCTCATGCTGGGAACGGAAG